TGTATGGATGGTGCTTACAACACCAAGCAAAAGTCATAAATGGTAACCCAGAGACATTAAATAAAGAATTGGTCAGTATAAGTAGTACCCTACAACGTAACAACTACCCTGGGTACATGGCAGCAGCCCCAAAAAATTGGGATAGGCGGGTACAAGAGGAGGACCACAACACTCAGAAAACAGTCTGCCTGCCTTATGTGAAGGGGTTATCAGAGAAAATACAAAGGATCTGCAGTTCATATAACATCAGGACAACCTTCAAAAGCTGGACGACATTTTACAGATATCTCTCCCAAGTAAGACCCCACACCATAGAGGAGGAGAACATGATTAAAGACTGTGTACACTATCCCGTGCAGCTGTGGAAAGAAATATAAAGGGGAGACAGGCCACCCTCTTAAGGTAAGGCTTCAAGAACACCAGAAAGCTGTAACATGAGGGGAAGTGGAAAAATCAGGGGAGGCTGACCACATATGGAGTAAAAATGGAGATTACTGCCCTCTGTGAGATCAGGTTGAGATCATAGACAAAGAACATCATTGGAAAATTCATAAACTTAAGGAATCAGCACATATGCTAGGCCACAAAAATCTCCTGAGTTGACCAAGCATAGAAATAAATACAATATGGGAACCAGTAATAAGGAGTGCCAGAGAAAAGCGATAATAACTACAAAAATTGCTATATAAGCGCTGGTAAAAATGGTTGCTGAAGACATTAGTTTTATAATACCCAGAAATTCATACAAAGGACACATTGCACAGTGGATAAAGGCATTGATTAGATCCAGTGACAGGACCCAAAGAGTATGAGTTCAATACCTGGTTAAGGCAGTGGAGAACTTGGAGAAGGGAAGTAACAGGAGATAACTGATAACTGACATCCATTAGACATGGCATGTGGAACTAGAACAGTTTACCCCAGTGAGCGAAATAAAGGGTTCAGTTTGACATTACAACCACCTTAAGAAGGCCGGAGTGTACAACAGCCGAAATGTTGTAATAAATATGGCGACAGAGATGAGGACAATAGTCCGAATAATGTAAATAATGTACATAATACCTCATCTCATAAATATAGACAAATATTCCAATGGTATATGATGTTTGAGTAAAATTTGCATTTGTTTTTCAGAGTTGTACATCACTATTGTCTTCAGTCATTGTCTTTGTAAGAATTACAAACTTAAAATTATTTTAATAATTGAATTAAAAAAGAAAAGTAAAGTTTAATAACAAAATTCATAAAATATTGTTGTAGAAATCTTTATTGTTATTTTGATCTGTACAGTGATCCTCCCGCAAAGAGTATCCTCATCATTGTCATTTTGATCAATAGAGTGACCCTCCCCAAAGAGTATCCTCATCATTGTCATTTTGATCAATAGAGTGACCCTCCCCAAAGAGTATCCTCATCATTGTCATTTTGATCAATAGAGTGACCCTCCCCAAAGAGTATCCTCATCATTGTCATTTTGATCAATAGAGTGACCCTCCCCAAAGAGTATCCTCATCATTGTCATTTTGATCAATAGAGTGACCCTCCCAAAGAGTATCCTCATCATTGTCATTTTGATCAATAGAGTGACCCTCCCAAAGTATATCCTCATCATTGTCATTTTTCAATGATGACCCTGTACAGGTGATCCTCATCATTATTATTTTGATCTGTACAGTGATCCTCCCGCAAAGAGTATCCTCATCATTGTCATTTTGATCAATAGAGTTACCTTCCCCTCAGGTGTATCCTCATCATTGTTATTTGGATCTGTCCAGGGGTCCTCCCCTAAGGAGTATCCTCATCATTGTCATCTTGATCTGTACAGTGATCCTCCCCCAAGGAGTATCCTCATCATTGTCATCTAGATCTGTACAGTGATCCTCCCCCAAGGAGTATCCTCATCATTATCATTTTGATCAACAGAGTGACCCTCTCCTCAAGTGTATCCTCATCATTATTTTATCTGTACAGTGATCTTCCCCCAAGGAGTATCCTCATCATTGTCATTTTGATCAATAGAGTGAACCTCATCATTCTCATTTTGATCAGTATGTTAATCCTCCTCCAAGGAGTATACTCATTATTGTCATTTTGATCAGTATGGTGATCCCTCCAAAGGAGTATCCTCGTCATTGATCAGTAGAGTGACCCCTGCCCCAAGCAAGTATCCTTGACATTTTGATGAGTACAGTGATGCTTTCAAAGGAGCATCCTCCTCATTGTCATTTGGATTAGTATGGCAACTTAGTTGCTTTTATGAATATGGATGATAATGTCTGAAAGCAAAAAAATTTTCAATGAAAAATGAATTTTTAAAACAATTATTTGTTATTTCTTAAATTATTTTATTATTTTTATATTATAAATTGTATAGCTTATAAGAATCAGAAGAACCACACTGTATAAAAAAATAATTTCAGATGGCTTTTGTATTCATAAAATGGCTATAATTCAAATGTACGGAAGACCAGTAAAAATACAATAAAAGATCCTGTTATTTGAGTTAAGCATTGTTCTCTGATGTTACAGCCTTTATTTTTGCAATTGTTCATGCGAAACACATGTGGAGAAGTTAATTTGATTTTTCAATTTCAACTGAGAAGGGTACCTACAAGTATTAGTATCATCTTATGAAATTTATATGATCTTATGTTTATATTACCTCAGTTATGAAATTTGTCCATGAATGAAATATCAAAATGAATAATAAAATGAATGGAAATACAAATAACCCAGTAAAATGTAATAAATGTACACAAATAGTATTTTATGTATACTTCTGATAAAATTTCATAAGAAAGGTACCTATAAATTAATTAAACAGTTTTATTTCAATTTTTTTTATAATATATTTTCCATAAAGCATCGTAAACGTAAAGGTGAAAGCTAAGTACAAAAAAATTAGAGTGCTGAAAGTTTTCCTTAAAAATAATGAGGTAACTAAGTTGGTTCACTTAAAACTAAATAATTATGTCACTTCTGTCCTTCCATATTGGTAACTTTCCCTTACATAAGCTGTCAGTACATGAAACCATTACTCATCAAAGATGCTTTGTCTTATTTTTAAACTACATTTTTTCGGCACATAATATAAGTAAAGTTTGTATCAAAATATTTTAAATAAATTTTATAATTTCTAATTTTGTTTTGAAAAAATTATAATTGATTTTTTAAAAGAATTTGAAACGGAGATTTTCATTGATTATCTATCAATATTGCTGACTCCAAAAACAAAAAATTGTATATATATATATATATATATATATATATATATATATATATATATATATATATGTGTGTGTGTGTACACACCGACACAAGTGATAATAATCTATAACATACGCTATTAATTTTGTTTCCACTACTTATCATATGGTGAACTTATTTCATTCTTATGTTTTAAGATTTTTGCCACACCTTGCAGTTGATCTTACACCTTGGTGCAATGCCATTCCTGGTTCTTTAATGCTCTGATAAATGCCCCAATGAAAAGTTTTCTCACAAGGGAAAAAGTTAAAGACTGTGTGACAAGTATGATTAGCCTATCCTATGTCTACATCATCTCTACGACATTTTAGTCTGTCTGACTTGGAATCATTCTTTTATAAACAAAATAAGCTGAGGATTCCATGAAAAGCCTCCAGAGACCAATAATTTGATTTGACATTTTGGAAAAGACATTGACGCCGGAAAAAAGCAATTTTTACAAAAATTACCATTTTCTTTTGTTTGTGAATTCTTCCACACATCAAAATAAACAGAAGATAATATATTTTTTGATTGAAAATGAAAAACTGACATTTTTTTCTTTTCTTGTTGAGATTTGAAATTTGGATACAAATCCGAACAAGCTTTCTAAATTTCACATTTCGTTTGAGCTTGCAAATTGTATGTATATGATTTGAAATAGAAACATCTAAGGAGTGACTTAGTCATAAATTGTAGAAACCAACATTTGAGGTTCAGTTATTACAGGCATTTGGAGTAAGAACTTTATGTCTGACTTTTTTCAATCTCAAGAGATTTGACTTTATGGGTATTAAATAAGTGGGTGGATTCAACAAATCTGGGCTTCTGTTATCTAGAGTAAGAAAATAGCGATTGAGGATACAGTACATTCTTGATTATCTTGGAATGGTGCTTGAAAAAAATATGTTAAGATAATTCAAAATTCTGCATAATTGAATTCCTAGATTATCTAAAAAGAATGAATAAAAAAGTCAATTTCTGAACGAATTTTGGCATTTATATCATCAAATAACATTTTCAAATGATCTATCCAGTTTATTTTTTCTTAAAAAAAAATGCATCAATTTTCTGTCTATTTTTCTCTGGCCTTGCGTTTTAACTGCAGCTTGATTAAAATAAAATGTCTTTGTAAGGGTAGCTTCAGATTAAAAGCACAACCAACTTAAACAAGAATTAATTGAACTCATCAGCATTTTTATCAAATGCTGAGTATGGTTCTCTAAATTATTGAAACACTTATCTGAGGTAAAATATTAGAATGAATTTAGTTTGGATAAATGAAAACTGTTTGTATGATTTCAATTTTTCTCTCCATTTCGCATCTGGATATTCAAAGTCCAGAAAATCAAGGTACAGATGATTGAGAAAGTACTGTAGCTTTCAAAGTTTGCGAGTATGTCCTCACTGTTATTGAATCATCAGGGACAAAATGAGAGATCAACAGGTTTGAAAGTCTCATTGATTCACTGAATGATTTATTTATATTCTACAGCTTATCAAACAATTTGCTGGTTATTTTAAGCCAAAAAATATATTTAGATTGTAAGAATGTATTTTTTTTTAAAAATAATAATGATTTTTAGTGATACAAGTTTTACTAATTAACCCATAACTGGAGGGAGAAGAGATTCATAACTTCCCCAAGGATATGTGTGCATAAGTGAATATAACAAACCCAATGGGAATTGGAACTCAGCTCACTGATTAACAATTCTGAGCCATTATCCTTTATAGCACCTGCGCATTCAAGTTTACAGCACCTGGTATTCCCAAGCAGTCACCATTCTAGGTACTGACCAGGCTCAATGTTGCTTACCTTCAGTGATCATACTGGAAGTGGTGCTTCAATGTAATGTGGCTCTAAGCCTAGGTGACACATTCCAGCAAAATATTCTTCTTGGAATGTTACTTCAAGTTAAGATTTAATTCCATATTGTCACAGAAGTAAACCATTTTTAATGGCATCGTGTTATCCCAATTGGCTTTTGTAAACTTGCAAAATCTTTGACTTCCAGTTGATTTGCAAATGCACTTTGTTTGAAAAATGATGTGATATGTATAAACTTTTTGAAAAATAGGTGATATGTGTATATTTTTTTTTAACTTATGTGGGCTATATATTTTTTAACTTCAGGATATAGATGATATATCATGGCTCTCCACTATTTCCCTATTCTTTGTGGCTCTAAGCAGTATTTGTTTCCTTTCTGTCTTTCTTGGTCAATATTCTACTCTCCATTTCGACAAACTTGTTCACATTCTGATTGAAATCTATCAGCTTAAATAAAGTAAATGTTACAATATCACAAATATAAAAACATTCTTTAAAGATGTTAGCCCTGGCCAGATAATAGGATTTCTAAAAGAAATAGGAATTTTTAAATGCCTTTAAAAATTTACTTATGGATATATAAGGACTGGTTTAAACAATTCAAATAGACAGATTAAACAATCTGTTTAAAACAAATTGTAGCTACCAAACTGAGCCTCTCCAAGTATATGTGATACACATGTAATTAGTTGATATACCATTAAACAAAATCTAACCAAACCAAAGTAGAGAATCTTGTTAGGTATGTTGCTTGCTTTTTCTCTCTGCCTCACTTGCCTTCATTACGTCCTGTGAGTATCAAATTCTCCAAGCTTTCTTTCCTCATTATGTGTTCCAGAAATTTCAGCTGCTTCTTTCCAATTCAAAATATAAGTGTTCATTTTATTTCCAATTCCCTTAAACTATTCTTGTTGCTCACACCTGTAAAGTCTGGAACAACTGTAGGAGTAGATAGGTTCACCCTCCTACTGAGTCCTTTTAAAAAGGAGTAGAGGTATATCCCTTGTTTCCTGTTTAGGATTGGGTTTATGGTTCCTTTTAAAGTCTACTTCATCTTTATACTTCTAATTTCTCCACCTAAAATCTGAAACTTTATTTAGTTTACTTTCATTTTTTCATCAATACTAGTAGATAGGTTTGCTTATTGCCCAGTTCACACTTCTCTCTGGTCTTTTGAATAGGTTTAGAGGTTTATCCCTTGTTTTCTGTTTAGGATTGGATTTCCAGTTCATTTAAAATCTTTTCATTCCTCTTGCATCTTAGGGACATTGTTGTGGTGAATTGATTAAAAAAAAAAATGTTCATGAGTACCTAATATAGGTCAAAGTTACTAATTGCAAATCATCTATAAGTGCATGACATTCTGTAAAGCAAAAACAGGAGTACATGTAGGTTTGGTATGAAAATGTATGGTTCTTTTCAAATGATCTGAGTGAGTTTCATTAATATACTCAATTCTAAGAGGAGATAAACATTTCAGACAAATTGCATTTCCTCTGATCTTCTATGACATAAATTCTATTGCTTGCATTTAAATTGTTTTAGAATTACTGGAATGGCTTCATTGCTATGGTGGCAGTGTAATCTGTCTGTGGGGTTGTTTGGTATGGCCAAGAGGGAGTCACTGGGGTTGGTGACTGGATTCTTTTGTTTATGGCAAAGTAAACATGTCAGTTTGACACTTGGCCTAAGAAATAAACTAAAAAACAAAGAGTAAGTGGCCAGATAGACAGTCACTTCTCTAGCTGTAGGCATTCCTTGCATAGAACCCATTGGTGGCATTACTCATCTCATTCCCTCTCTCCCTGCTACCTTGGCCATTCTCCCCTTTCTCTCTCTCTCATTCCCTCTCTCCTTGCTACCATGGCCATTCTCCCTTCTCTTTCTCATTCCTTCTCTCCTTGCTTACTTTGTCATTCTCCTTCTCTCTCATTCCCTCTCCCCCTGCTAACTTGGCCATTCTCGCCCCACTCTCTCTTTGCTACTTTGCCCATTCACTCTCCCCACCTCTCTCTCTGTTACTTTGCCCATTCCCCCCATTCTCTGCTACCTTGTCCAAACATTCAGTCAGTCGGTGGGTTATGTAATCAGAAAAGAAAACCTGTTCACACATTGATAAAGAGATTGGGTAGATACCGGCTGCGATCGAAATAAGTAGAAACTGGGACTGATACATAGCTGGATATAGACGGAATTAGATAATGAGTAGATATTGGGATACATTGTGGTAGATAAACAGAATAGTATGAATAATATAGATACATAGATATGTTCAATATGGGAAAGATAAATGAAGTATACAATGAGATAGTCTATCTGTACTTATCTATCTCACTTTGTCCTACTCTCTACTTTCTATTTCAGTCTATCCCTATCTATCTATCTATCTACCTTAGTCTATCCCACTTTCTATTTATCTTTCTATATCCTACTCTACTTGTTTGCCTATTTATTTCAGTCATTCACATTGAACTTTTATTTCTTCTTTCCATCCATCAGTCTCTATCTACTGACATTCATCTCTCTGTGTCGGACTGTTGACATGCATTCATCTCTCTGTGTCGGACTGTTGACATGCATTCATCTCTCTGTGTCGGACTGTTGACATGCATTCATCTCTCTGTGTCGGACTGTTGACATGCATTCATCTCTCTGTGTCGGACTGTTGACATTCATCCATCCATGTGTCTCAGACTGTTGAAATTTATCTGTAGATCCTGTCACCTGTATCCTATATTTGTCTATCTCAGACAATTACTGAATGGGAAAGTCTGATATAGTTTAGAGAACTAGGTCTTTTTGCCCATATTTGTAAATGCTATATCCTCTTAGAATGTAGAGAGTGATAGCTTGCCACAACTTTCATTTTTTTTTTTTTTTTTTGATAAATGTGAATTGCCATGTCTTCTTTGGAAAGATAATAGTATAGTTTGTATATTTTGTCTTGTTGACAGTTTTGAATTAAGTCTTCTTTCTGTTAGACTGGTTGTCACCAAAGGTGAGAGAGTCCAGTTTTCTTAGCTATTTAAATGTTGGTTGAGAGGAGAAAAATGAATTCATGCCTTTCTCAAGGGCATAAATGCAAAAAGTGAATTTTTGCCCTTGTTTATAAACTCTATATTATCTTAGAAAATGGAGAGAGAGATAGCTGTGTATATATATATATATATTTTTTTTTTTATATATATATATATATATATATATATATATATGGGGAGAGAGATGATATGTATGAAGAGAAAGTAGGTATTTGGAGAGAAAGAGATAGTAAATATGGAGATAGAGAACGGATAAGTCTTGAGACATTGAGAGAGTTAAAGTCTGATGACACACAGAGAGATATAGATAAAGTTTGGTTTTCACAGAGAGATATTTAAATGTTGATGGTTGAGAGAGAGATATAGATAAAATCTGGAGACAGAGAGAGAATATAGATAAAATGAGACAGAAAGATATAATTTGGAGACAGAGAGAGAGAGAGATATAGATAAAAAAATCTTGTTTATAGATAAAACTTATCAGAGAGAGATATAGATAAAATCTGGAGACAGAGAGAGAGATAGAGAAAAATCTGGAGACAGAGAGAGAGATATATATATATATAGATGTATGTATGATAAAAATCTATATAGACAAAAATCTGATGATATATATATATATATAAAAATGGGAGACAGAGAGAGAGATATAGATAAAAAATCTGATGAGAGAGAGAGATAGATAAAAATATGGAGAGAAAGAGATAGATAAAAAATCTGATGAGATAGAGAGAGATATAGATCTTGAGACAGAGAGAGATATAGATAAAAAATCTGATGACACACAGAGAGATATAGATAAAATCTGATGACACAGAGAGAGATATAGATAAAATCTGGAGACAGAGAGAGATGATAAAACTGGAGACAGAGAGAGATATAGATAAAAATCTGGAGACAGAGAGAGAGATATAGATAAAATCTGGACACAGAGAGAGATAAAATCTGGAGACAGAGAGAGAGATAGATAAAATCTGATGACACAGAGAGAGATATAGATAAAATCTGGAGACAGAGAGAGAGATATAGATAAAAATCTGATGACACAGAGAGAGATATAGATAAAATCTGGAGACAGAGAGAGAGATATAGATAAAAATCTGATGACACCGAGAGAGATATAGATAAAATCTGGAGACAGAGAGAGAGATATAGATAAAATCTGGAGACAGAGAGAGATATAGATAAAATCTGGAGACAGAGAGAGAGATATAGATAAAAATCTGGAGACAGAGAGAGAGATATAGATAAAATCTGGAGACAGAGAGAGAGATATAGATAAAAATCTGGAGACAGAGAGAGAGATATAGATAAAATCTGGAGACACAGAGAGAGAGAGATAAATATGGAGAGAGAAATAAGTACGGAGATAGACAGATAAATAGAAAGCAAGACTGATGGATAGATAAATACCGAGGTGAGGGGCAGACTGTACTATATAGATACACAAATAGTCTGCCTCAGTCTGTACTTATCTCATATCTATCTCGGTCTTTTTTTAGGTAGATATGTCTGAACAAATTAAGGCAGAGAAAAAATGTAAGATATTTTGAAAGTGTTGAAATGGTTCCTCTATGGCTACTGAGGTAGTTGTGTTTGCCATTTGGAAATGTGGCTTGTGATTGTACAAAGAATAATTTGCAAAGAAGAATTCCTTTAAATAGATTGGAATATCGTGAAATCCTGTGGTTTGTCTCATGGTTGCTTGGTGGCCATGTTCAAAAAAGAGGTCATGGGCAGACTTGACCCTGTCATGTGTGTTGATCAATGTTGACAACTGTCACTCTATTTATTAAAAATACTTTTGAGTTGTTACATAAAACAGTTGGAATTAAAAGCTGTATCTCTCGTGTAATTTATATGTCTTATAGTTAGATTGATTGATTTGTCTGTTTAAAGGCACATCAACTCCTTATGGGTCATTTAATGCAGAAATTTAATTTTCTTGGGAGCTTTGAAGTTATAAAAATATGATGTATGTTATTCTGATATCACAATTGAATACATGGTAGATGTTACTCAGCTTTTATGCATATATATGTTTGTGTAGACATAATTACTAGAGGCAGTGATATGTGTTTTATGTTGTTTTGTTGAAGTTATATTTTGGAATATAATTTGATTTCTTTAAGAAATTGTATGATATTCTATGGATTAATGTTATGAAAGAGTTCTTTTATGTTGGTTGTTCGGTTGATTTTGTTTAGCACCATATCAACATCTATGGGTCATTTAATGCCAAAATCCTGTGGTTTGTCTCATGGTTAATTCCAAAATCTAAATAATTTGGACACAATTTTATGGCTTCAACTAAATATATTTTAAATGCAATTATATATTTTCAACTATAGATAAAATGTATTGCTGGTTATTTTATTATAAATATATATCGTTGGTCCTTTTTCCTATAAAAATATACTGCTGATATTTTTACTATTGTTGGGGCGCACCCACCTTCTCATCAGAATGGACTGATCTCTCTACTACTAATAGGACGGTTCTATAGAGTTCTGGGAAGATCAGGTGACCAACACACTTCCGTCTCTCTACCAGAAGATACAGTTGGACTTTATACTCTTTCTGATTGTTACTGACTAACCTGCGTTCGTTTGACTACTAATCTCTCTGTTGTAAATACCTCTTCAGATATGCCAGTATTTTTCCCTACGTATATGTCTGTCTTTATTTCAATACATGCACGCGGAAACACTCAACATTTCAACAACTATAAAAATGTATTTTTATATTTTCATAGTGTTTTGCTTGGAGGTTCACTATTTGCCCATAGCTGGGACCCTGACAGGTGCTACCACCCCCAGTCAGGGTGGACCTGGGATCAACAGTAATTAATAGGTGGTTCCACACTCTTCAGAACCTCCAATCTCCCAATCAGAGGCCTTGCTGTTGGATATAGTTTATTGTCATACCCAGGCTTATAGTTAGAAACAAAGAAAAGTGTACTGAACTGTTAAGTAATATCAGTCCTGTTGTATGTCAGTGAATGCTAGACAATCTCCCCATATATGAAGAAGAGACTTGAAGCAACAAAAATGCTGTGAATACCATGGACTGAATATGTGAACAAGACAAGATTTCAGAGAAACTGGAAACAAAAAGGAAAAAATGTAAGATAATTTGAAAGTGTTGAAAATTTTAATATCAACAAGAGATAGTTGAAATTTTTAGGGTACATAAAGAGGAAAAAGGGCACAAAAAATTCAATACTCACATGACAGATTGAAGGCTAGGGGGATAGAGGAAAACAAAGTATAACCTACTTGGCAAGCGCAAGTAGATAGATTGCGGAACAAGTTTTAAGAGAAACGGCAAAAAGTCAAGATTTATTAAAAGCGACAAAGGACAGGAAATTGTGGAGAGTCACGATTGCCAACATCATGAAGTGACACACCATACAGAGGAAAACTGTTATATCAAAACATACTTGTTATTATCACAACTCTTTAGCTGGTGTGTCCTTTGGCCTCCTTCAGGTGTCTGGTTAACGTTCTGGGTTCAGCAATGTCTCATTTGACAATAATTTCAATGATGAAAGCATTGGTTCGTGAATTTGATCCCATAGTAATTGTTAGTTCAATCCCTGGTAAGTGAAAACTCTGTGGAAACAGTGCAAACAATAACTTAATAGTATTAAAAAGAACAGTTGGATATACCCATAGACATGGACAGTAGGGCAAGAGAAATCAATATATAATGACCATAACTGACTTGGCTAGAATTTGAACTCTGCTAACTAACTCCATTTTCAATACCAATAACCATTATGCTACTCACATATATAAATGGTGGACTCTCTCATCGTATTTGATGTATGAGGGTAAAGGAGCTCAGTTCCTAGGAACTGACAGCCAGACACCAGCACATATGATTTGATTATAGTGGTGAAGGCTTTGTGCAGAACCACCCATACTTTTTGAAGGTGAAGGACCCGAATACAGAGACCTGGTGCACTACGTGCCACAAAGGTCCCCAAACAACCCTCCGCAGGTTTTGAATTCAGAGTTCTCCTTCTCCTAGACCAGTTGCCATCCAAGGCTATAGAACCCAGTCTGTTTTGCTATTTACCCATAGCTGGAGAAAGAAGAGGATTGAGGGGCACAAATTTCAGTCGAATCCATTACATTCACTAACATGCTAGTACCCTTGGGGAAACGTGTATAAATATTGCAACAATAATTTACAATGTGATAGTATCATGTAACTTATAGATTTGAGCAATGGACATTCCGGTAAAAATTTCATGACAATCCTTTGATTTATTCATTTTTTCCATAAACCATAAAATTTTTCATATTTCCATCAATTTACAGTTAAATCTTTCACAGACCAGGAACATGTATTAATAAATGAGATTTTCATATTTCTAGCAATGTACATCTAAATCTTTCACAGATCATGAACATGTATTAACAATGATGCTTTTATTATTTTCATTAATCTGAATGTAAATAAGATAAATATTGGATATTTTATTCTTTTGAAGATACCATGCAAGATGCCAATCAAATTATCCAGTTATGTCCCTTAGATATAATTTGATAAATTATTTCAGTTGAGATTTAGTCAGCACATAATCCTGATATTCTCAACTGAGCTTTTTGTGAGGCATGAGGAAAGGAAATCATTGTATATGGTAAGCTTGTAAAAGTTGTGAATTTGTCAATTGAACTACTGACCTTGTCCTCAGCATCATCATCTGAAATCTGAAGCCATTTTGCTAGTGACTAATATTTTTCTAAAAATAACATAACTTTCAACCGGATGCATTTGATATTGTTGAATTAAAACAGGTTAATAAATTCTGATGAATGAATCGGCATACACTCATCGTTCGTAGCAGAATTATTGATCTTCTGATGATATCAATTGCCAAGTCATGGGAATATAAACAAATATAAGTTTCAGTAAAAAAGACATTCTTTAATGTAAATTATAGAGAATATATATATATATATATATATATATATATATATATATATATATATATTGTTTGCCTGTGTATGGGTGTGTATATATATGTGTGTGTATTCGTGTATATGTGTGTGTTCGTGTATGTATATATATATATATATATATATATCTGTGTGTGTTCATGTATGTGTATATATATATATATATATATGTGTGTGTGTTCATGTATGTGTGTATATATATATATATATATATATGTGTGTTATATATATATATATATATATATATATGTGTGTGTTCATGTATGTGTGTATATATATATATATATATATATATGTGTGTGTTCATGTCTGTGTGTCTATATATATATATATATGTGTGTGTTCATGTCTGTGTGTCTATATATATATATATGTGTGTGTTCATGTATATGTGTGTATATATATATATATATATATATATATGTGTGTGTGTTGTGTATGTGTATATATATATATATATATATGTATATATGTGTGTGTGTTCATGTGTGTGTATATATATATATATATGTATATATGTGTGTGTGTCATGTGTGTGTGTATATATATATATATGTATATATGTGTGTGTGTTCATGTATGTGTGTATATATATATATATATATATGTATATATGTGTGTGTGTTCATGTATGTGTGTATATATATATATGTGTGTATATATATATATATATATATATATATGTGTGTGTTCATGTATGTGTGTATATATATATATATATATATATATATGTATATATGTGTGTGTGTTCATGTATGTGTGTATATATATATATATATGTGTGTGTGTGTTATATATGTATATATATATATATATATGTGTGTGTGTTCATGTATGTTATATATATATATGTGTGTATATATATATATATATATATATATATGTGTGTGTGTTCATGTGTGTGTATATATGTATATATATATATATATATATATATATATATATATATAATGTGTGTGTGTGAATATCTGTGTGTATGTGGAATTATATATAATGTGTGTGTATGTGTAAAGGCACTGTGATCAGAAATAATCTTTTTTCTATTTTCATATCACTATAGATTAAGCACTCCAGATGATGAATATCAAAGAAAAAAAGAAAATGATTTAGCCATCTTCATTTAAGCATATGCATAATGTATAATGTTTATATATACAGAAAGTGGAATCAGCATAACATGTTCAAATTCTGACCATGATATAAACTTACCTTGGAGAATGCATGAATCCATCTTCATCCTGCTATAGGTTAAATAGCAAATTGGGCTCTCTTGTCTTGGGTGGCAAGAAAAACACTGATTTCATACCATCTTTTCAAAGAGGATTATGTTTACTACCTGTACTCACCTTAGGCTCTGACATTATTCTGGATAGGTTAAAGTCTGTTATTTTAAAAAACAAGGACAACTGTTTGGAAATTTCCTGGCACCATTTTATTGTTATCCGTTCATCTAATAAATTATGGCTGGTTATGCACAAGCCTTCATGGTTATAAAAAAAAAAATCATCTATATGTGTAGCTTAGCAATTCATTTTGAAAATCATATTTTGGGCCCCCATATGTTGAAATCGACAAGAAAGTCAGTAACTGTAAATTGAGATCTCAATGCCAGTCTAGTACCATGCTAAAATTCAAAATATCTATGTACCATAGTGAAGAGACGCCACATCAGAACTAATAATATTGCTAAAAATCCAAAGAAGAATCAGCAATATTATTGGTCCGGATTTGGCATCTCAGCTTCAGTCACTTTCACACTGCCATAAGGTTACCTCCCTGTACATTTTCTATAAATACTTTCATGGTAATTGTTTTTATGCGCTCTTCACTATGGGACTTGTTTTTTTATGCATTGAGATCACTAGATTCATCAATTGAGTTGAGTTGAGGCTAGATATGTAACTTTAAAATCTATGCTAACAGTTTCTTTTTTCACATTGAAATCTCATACTAGATTGGCATTGAGATCTCATCAATTTACAGTTGAGTTGGCTAGATATGTAACTGTAAAATCTATGCTAACAGTTTCTTTTCTCACACTTCTCGCTTGTGAAACTCCCTTCTGTTTCCATGCTTTCCAGCCAACTTTAATCTTGAAATATTCAAATGCATACCAATTGCTCCCTACTTTCCTCCTGATTAGTTTTCTTTTGTTTTCACTCCTTAGTAATGTTTCTGTTTGTAATTTTTCCACACCTAGTAACTCCTTATGTCTTAGTGGCTTTACTGCTTTGCACAATGTGAAATTGATTAAGTAAAAAAATAAAATTCTAATATAAAAACAAATATAACAATATAAGTTACTCGCATTTCACACAAAGTTCAACTAAAAATAAAAAGGAATGTTTCCAGCCTGACCATTCTTAGTAGGTTTGTCAAAAAAGTTTGTTCGGTCTATTACATAAAAATAAATATGTATGCTTTTGGTTTTTGTTAAACAACATTTACCATTTTGTTCTGCTATCTGTTGCCACCTTTTAGTTGACTTCATAATTCCTTCCTCCTAGAAGTTTTAATCAAAGAATTGCTTCAGGTACTTTTGTGGTCTTTCAGGAAATTTATTGACATTTTTTTTTTCTTAAAATCAATTCAGCAAAGAACAGAATACATGTTAATCCGAAAGTGCAATATCTTGCAGAGTGGTCTCACACAATAAATCCAACTGGACATTTGATGTTTTTGCATCCCTAAATGACTTTCAGTCCAATTAATGGAACTGTATTAATGTTATTTGTACTTAAGAGAAAGATTTAAATCAAAGTTTTCATATTTCTAAAAAAAAAAAATAAAAAAAAAATAAGGGTTTAGTTTGAGAAAATTTTCTGCATTGAATGCCAAAATTATTGAAAAATGGTTAAGTTTTGTATTTAACCCATTGTGATTTCTTTTGAGGGGATTTTCACTGCCAAAAATTGAATTCAGCACCCGCAAAATAGAGGTCTAGATCATGATTTTCTGATAAAAGCTGGTATTTGGTTTCCTGGCATATGATGCTGAAAGTGGGTAATGATCAATTTAATGTATGAAAGGAACTTAGTATATTTTAAATATATTCCCCAAGAACAACTTCCTTTTGCAGATTAAAATTGTTTTAATATTTAGGTTCTTACACTAAAAAAGGACTAAAAAAGATTTCTCACTGGAAATTTTGTTAATGTTATTTGATGTTGTCAGGTCCGAGACAGAAAAGTAGCCAAATATGCCAAAAAATTGTGTTAATTTGTCTGAATTTTGTGATTTGGGATACCTGAAGCCAATTGATATGGGTGACTTTTTTTCAAAAGAATATCGATTTAAATCTGTCTTGTTTATATCATTCAAATTTCAATGACTTCTTTAACCAAAAGAGGCAGAAAAAGCAACTATTTAAAACTGATTGTAAAAAAAAAAAAAAAAAAAAACAAATTCAAGTTTTGATTCAGTTCAAATGATCTTAACTTGACAAATACTAGGATAAAGTTAGACTACGTCTGAAATTATGAGACTGTCTACTTTTAGACTAGATACAGCACATCTCACTTTTGTTTAACTATATAAGTTAATTCTACCATGATGTTGAATCAGAAGAGTGTTAGCTTTTTGGATATGTCACTTGCCTGGTAATCTCTAGGTTAGACATTAATTAAAGTATTTATTTTATATAATGGCTTTATATTCATTTATGAGTACACCTGTTGGCTAAAGTAGCCAATTCATACATCCCCTGCCCACCGGTGTTTTAAACAGGAGTAGAGGATTATTCATTGTTTCATTTTTAGGATTGGATTTCCAATTTCTTTCAAAGTCTACTTCAGCTCTATACTAACGCTTGTCCTTTCCTGTGAATGTGACAGGTCACATTTGCATAGGTGGAAAGAGAGTCTCGCAAAAGTATTCAAATCCGAGATTTATCTTTTCTTAAATATATGACTCGTGAAGCCACCATTTTCTTTTTGGTATATTTTACATGTAAGTCACGTTTTCAGTTCCATTTTCGTTCAGGAGGTAAGCATTTTCTTTACTATAACAGTTGTCTTATGTATACAGTGGAGAAGTAAATGTTTCCAAGTAAAGCAGTAACGAATTTGGTTTGGTCCACAAAGAAACATGGTTTACTGTTACCCTGATGGAATACTATACATTTTCTCTTTACTAATTCTGGAGAGAGGTTTTTTTGTTTTTTGTTTTTGTTTATTGCTGCCTTTATGTTATCTAATTGGGAGCAGTACAAGATTGAATCAAGTGTTTTTTTTTTTCTCTGGAAGGAGCTCAATAGACCACTCCCTTTCAATTC